TTGGCCCTTATTCGGTGTCCCTTCGCTAACTACCGGAACTTGCCGCGGTCATGGCGGAGAATAACGAGCAGGAGGAGGATGTGAAGAGATATAGAGACATAGAAGACGATACGAGCGAGGAAGGGTAAGGATAACGAGAAAAGCTCTTGCCCGTGTGGCCTCTTCTTCTTTCTTTTCTCTGTACGAGAAGCACGGCCGTTTTGGCGTAAGCATTTCCGAGCTGTACGACGTCGGCATACGATATGAGAGAGGAGACCGGCGCAAGGAGGAAATCATAGTTCGTTAAGAGTTAGCACGCTCCTTGTACTCTCCGTGCGACTGTTCGTACGCGCGTTCGTATTCGCTTCAAGTAGTTTCTGTAGTCCTGAACGTTCGTCAAGCGTTTCGCCGATTTCGCGCGACGGTTTCTCAAATGCTATTCGCTTTAGTAACTTTGCAGCAACTGCTGCTGCTACTACCAGTTTTGCATACAACAAGTACGCGCTCGCCCCTTAAGAAAAGGGAACGGGGACAAAAGTAGAAAGCGTAGCCGAGAGAAGCGAACCTTTAGGTGGCTGAAAGGTCTGATATATACCACCTTCTATGGTGTATCCTTGAGGAGAACCCACGCGACAAACGAAAAACCGGTTCGTTGCTCGCCGTATTGATACAGCGTCGTTCATTAATGCTGATTCAGTCAACACAATTGTTTTCCGCGTATAACCTTCACGTCAGTATCTGCTGACGAAGTCTTCGACTCAAAGACGAATTTTAACAAATAGATTTACGTTAGTGATACAGACATCACCTTGACCGACACGTAGTCGCGACGCATATGAGCTTACTTGGAGCGCCAGGTAGGCGATTAACATCCATGAGCGGAACTGTAGTTCTCGCTCTTACTGTCATCATCGTGGAAGGAGAAACATGGTAAAAGTACGAAAGAGACCGAGTTCACTTCGCGATCTGTCTTGGTTGTCTTGGTCGTGGATACATTTCGACAGTGTGCAGAAAATGTGGCTGTGTAACCACGGTGTGACCGTATTTGTGTTTGTGCTAATAGGTGATACAAATGAATGATGTAACAGTGATTAAATTTAAATAAATAGCTGAGAGAAATGATAGTTACTGGTCATTTCGATCGTTCGAACGATGGAGAACACTGAGAAATGACATAATCGGTAAATCTGTTTCCTTGGAACGATTTTGAGGAAGGCCATTGTTCTGAGTGCAACTTGTCGATGATATGCAGTATGCGATAATTTGGATCAGAAGGATCTCACACCGAAATTGACAATTCGAAATGACGTATGAAAATCTTTAGTATTTCTTGTTTGAGCTTTAGTAATAATTATGCAGTCAAACATACGATAAAAATAGAAACTCGCTTGCGCTACGTTGGCGCTCACTTGCATTCCGCATAATGAACGTGACTGACGTGTCTTTGAAAAGTATATTAACCCATTGTTTCCAAGAAACAGTATCAGTTTTTTTATCGCATCGTCCGCGATGGAATCCTTGAACGGATTTGCGCGACTGTTACAACGCAATTAAAAGGTAATCTGGACGGTGGTTATTCTAGCAACGAGTGCGCGTGTGATTTGTGGTTACGAATGGAAGTAATATGTGTAACTTAAACGATGAGTGTTAGTAGGTTGTGTAGACGCGTAGGTGAGCGGCAGTCCGGTGATACGCTCACGTTACTGGAAAAGCGATGAACAGGTGTTATTACGTCGCACGCAACGATGACATAATCCGCAGTTGCGAAAGATTAGCAACAAGAGTGCAGCGAATAATAAACGTAGCGCAATTGTTTGCGGTGTCTTTTTCCCTTAATATTAGTCGTGTGTTGAGGTATCGCGAGGAAAACAACCGAAGATGATTATCGACTGTGCATCGTGGCTGTCGTGCGCGGGATCGCGCTCAGAGCTGGAGCCGGAGAATGTGATTACGATAAGAATCACGTGAGTTTCAGACCAATGGATTCGCATATTTTCTCGTTATTAATGTCAAAAATGTGCAAAGGAGATTGTAAAGAATACGGTGAAAGACAGCAAGATTGTGAAGAGAGTGGAATTTCTTTTCAAAAATTAGGACTCTAAAGGCTGTATTAATAGTGGCTACTTGAAATATACTTCAGGTGAGATATTCAGATTTGGATTTGGAATTAAACGTGACTTTTTCAGCAGGATCGCGATTACAAATGTAGTGTCACATATATGTCACATGGTTCAAGTAAGAAATACAAATCTAACTCTAAAATCAGATCTAAATATCTCACGTGAGACAAGTTTCAAGTAACGACTACTGATACGGACCTATGTGCAAACATAATTGTTGCGTAATGATTTTGAGTAAAATGAATTGTCATTGCAGTTCCATTGATTCTTATAGTTCTCATTTACATTCTCTATAAATATCACACTACCTTTTTTGTGTACACAGAGTTTCTTCTTTTTATCAGAGAGACGCGGCGTTGCACGTTGGTCGCGTCGGCGGCACAATGAAAATTGACTACCTGTTGTAATGCCTCAGGTGGAAAAGTAGTAATTAACCGTGTCTGACAAACGGAATTTCAAATCGGAGAAACTCGTACACGACCTGCAAATAAATCTTATTAAGTCCGACCGTGTTGCCGGGAAAAAGTTGCGCTCATTTGCGTGCTCTTTCTCTTTTCCCATTGAATTTACTGCGCAACAAATACAATTACACAACGACATAAATAAGAGTATGCGATAACGCTCGAAGTTTTATACTTTAATTAAGACGCGTTACGTGATCCTGGAAAATTCCCTAATTAAGAATTCTTTCACATCAACTAACTTTTACCAGACCGGTCGATCCTTTAGAGTTATGCGAGAAGAAGAGAGAAAGAGAACATGTATCGAGGGTAAGAGAAAGAGAAAGAGAGAGAGAGAGAGAGAGGGAAGAGGGAAGGAGGGAAGGAGAAAAAGAAGGAAATATTTATTAGGAAACCTTCTAAGAGCATACTACAAATTTGTATACATTATTGTATACATTAAAGTGTGGTTTTAGATAGGCGCTTGGCAAATTACAAATAGTAAAATTTAACAAAACTGTCGAGCAAAAGAAAGATATTTAAAGAAAAAGAAAAATTGTTAAATGATATCTTTGAGATTTTGGCAATTTTGCAGACGGAATTTTAAGACAGGGAAAAAATTGTTAAAGATTGCTAAAAATCGTTGCTGTTCACGCTGATCATGTAACACCGTCTGGGTGTTTCTCGTGTGCATTGTAGGTTGCTCGAGTTGGCCCCGATGCTGGGACAACGGGTGCATTTCGCGGAGGGCACGAACTTAAGGTGTCGCGAAGACCGTATACCGTCCGATTCGGAAAAAAGGTTAGCAGTTAACCTTTTAGTTAGCAGTTAACCTTCTAGTCGGGCTCAAATAACGAATCAGTTGAACGTAAGATGTTGAACGGAAGAACGTTTAAAGGTCGATTGCTGATCAAGGAAAGGTATTCATCTAATCTGATCGCTCAAGATCATACGCGAGAAACGCGAACTTAGTAATACCTAAAAGTTGCTGGATTAACCGACACCTTAGATACCGCTGATGATATTAAATTATTATTAATGACACGCGTTAACGATCTTGATTAGCAACCTACATAGCACTTGCGTGTTATTAAACACTTCATGGGAGACGATGAGAGGATCTCGTGCCGTATACATTATTTGTGTGATTTTCACGCGTGCCTCTACTTCTCGTTAAACCGATCTCATTTTATCCACCCTTGACCGCTAAAGTCATCTCTCGCTTCGGCATATCATCATTTCCTTCGATGAATTTTTGATTCCCTCGAAACTCGTGTGTTAAATTCCATCCTCTTTACATTAAACGAAAGAATTATAGATGAATTTTGCCAAACACCGAAGATGAGTTTCCCATCGTCGGGTCACCCATCCCCGACGTATTCGACCTAAAAAGAGAGCTTCTCCGTGAGAAGTTTCCCAGATCTTCTCAATATCGAACTTTGAGGAACGATTTTCGCGATAATGACAGGACGGAATAATTCAGCGGTGTGCCGAAAACTCGTCCGCAAACTTTTTCGTCGAAAGCGAAGTTAACGGATCTCACAGCGCGAATCTTGGAGTCATCGAAAACTCATTAAAAGGGATGATAGCACTCCTCTTGAGATACGATCCATACCATTCTCGACGTCCGTTTTTCATCTCGCTGCGAACCTGAATTTCTGGCCGTACACTCACTTTATTGCGCGCACTCCGCGAGGAGAAATCCACGCCGAAAGGCGCATGTGCGAGCGAAGGTGGTACACGGACACGAGCAGGTAGAAGGAGGATAAAGAAGGATAGAGGTACATATACAACCCTTGCGCGTACTCACCCTCTTCGACATCCCTCATCGACGAGCCCTGGCCGTTAGTCCGACCGGCTACTCTCGTCACGCCGCGTCGCGTCGCTTCGCGTAGCTGCATCGTGTCTCCGCGATTCGCGATTCGCAAAGGACGCGACGTGCCTCGGATCTGAAGAAATTTCCGGAAGATTCCGCATGCGAGACTCCGGAGGAGATCACGGGAGAATGATAACTTCGGCGAGGGAGGAACAGAGATGAATGATCCTTTCGTCGCGACTCACTCATATATGGTGCGTAGGCGCTCAATTACTACCGGTGCTACCATTTGTTTCCAAGTTCCGCGATGTCCTCATTGAAAGCATATTAGCATTGTACGCGGGACAGATAGAAACTGAGAGGGAGAAAGGAAGAGAGAGAGAGAAAAAGAGAGAAAGAGAGAGAGAGAGTGAGAAAGCTGGAATATCGAGGAGCTTCTTCGGGAGCAGAGCGGTGCAGAAGCTTCCTCGGTAAGATGTGTTCTATCATTGATCGAGAATATGGATCGATCGACGTGGCGAAGGTCGCCCGGCCCCGGCCCTCGTCGATGAATATTTGTCCCTCGAAAACGCCGGTTCGTGTCACGCGATATCGGGGCGAACGTACCAATCGATGGTATGCGATTTAATTCACGATTTAATCCAGGTTGCGTCGTGCTTTCGGCTTACTGAAACGATTCGACTGTCTTGAAGCCGAAGTCGGAGAAGCTTTCACCATCCTGTCATTGGAAACCGTGACATCTCGTTGATCGCCAATATCCTCAACGAGAGGAATGCTTGATGACGTCGTAAGCGTTGAACCTTGAAGACGTTAACGACAAGAACGTCTCACGACGTTCTGATATTGAGATCAATCGATCTCCGGTCTTAAAGTTGCCGAAGCACGACATCGCGCCTCGTGCTGCGCCAGCGATGTTCACCACTTCCTATCGACGAGAATCAACGATGTTATCACGCGTCACCGTGAAAATAAATTCCGGTGCTGGCAAGCTCGATCGATGCTGCTAGTCACTCAAGAGGAGAGAGCCGCATCGCGAGGGTGGCAGAGAGGAGAAGGGGAAGAGTAGAGAGAGGGTGAGTGAGTTAGCGTGAGGGTGGTCGGGTGATAGCCATTGAGAGTGGGTAGATATGAGAAAAGGGGGGGAAACACAGAAAAGAAACGAGTGATATTGAGACAGAAACGATGTCTGAGATAATGGCGAGATAAAAGTTTGCGGCAACCTTGTAATGCTATCAAGTTTGCTGAGGTTGTTTTTGCCGGACGTGTGACCTTTCCCTTATGGTTCACGCGTCGTTGGTCGATGCACTCGATAGCTGGATGTGAGCTGAATGACCCTTAAAGCTCACCACGAGCAGCTGCGACGAGAAACGGTCTGACCGCCAGTTTAAACGTAATAACCCCGAAACACATTAGAATAAAGACTGAACGACAATTTGAAGCAACATCGATTGGCAGCAAATCGAAATCAAATATGCGACGGAAAAGGAAGCACAATGACTATAGATTCTTATAAAATTCGCAGGATATAGCGCGGATGAACTTATCCTTAGAAGACACTTAGAAATGAACAGCTCTTCGCGTTCACCGGTCAAGCGAAAGATCGTGTTGGATTTGAACAAGCTTTATCTCGAGTTCTCGTCCCGAATTCTCGTCTTTCTCGATATCAACGTGCTTTTCATGCGAAAATTCGATACCCTCCGTGACCTGACGATCAAAGTTTAACAGATTCGAGAAACATATTGAGCTGTTGAAGACATCAAGGTCTCGCGTAATACCGGCGGTGAAGGCACTTAGAATGGGCTGCAAATCAGCAGCAAAGTTCAAGCTGGAGGAAGAGACGACCGTGTCGTCGTCGTCGTCGTCGTCGTCTTTGTCAAAATGTAAGCGCGCAGTCAAGCCGTTGGTCGAGCAGAAGGCGATCCATGAGCAGTGCGGCGGTACTAACGGCGTGTCCGATCCCGATGACGACGGGGAAGAGGAAAAAAGAAACACAGCCACGCGATTAATCCCATTCAAGAGGTCGTTCTCGTCAGGTAGCGGAACGTCCGAAAGCGCACGCAACAGCGTTACCAGGTAGCTATCAGACGAGAATGCAGAGGCTGCGTACGACCTTCAAGAGGTCGCGCACTCCTACGGGAGCAGAGATGAAGTCTCAATCTAGCCTCGAGGTTCCCAAGCAGATCCGCTCGGCTTCTTTCGACGAGATACAGCTGCAGCCAAAACAGCAGGACGATGCCCGGCCAGCTTCCTCGCCATCCGTATACTCTCCTCTAAACCAGGATTCGACACGCGGTCGGCGATCGTCCACTCTTAAGGTGCCACAACTGCAGACTGGCCAACGCTCCAAGAGCTTCGACGCGTACTCAGCGAGCTCTGGCTCGTCCTCCGGCAGCCAACTACTTCCCGTCGGATTCGAGCGGCCGGAAACGCCGCTCATCCAGGTCTCCGGTTGCTATCACTGTGCCTGCGTCGAAGAGTACAGGAGGCTGACCGAGGAGGCGTCCAAGGACGACACCGAGACCGGCGACTCACGTGGCGAAATTGACAACAGCACGGATATCTCCGAGAACGAGTCGGATCACGAAGACGAACCCAAACGAGAAGGCAGTCCGGAAATCTTGGTTACTCTGACGTCCGACGACGAGCAGGTGCCGCAATGCGTCTCACCTACGGTAGACATCATGCCCGAGGCGCACCCCGAGGTCAGAATGGAATTCCCGGAGAGACAACGCAGGCTGTCCAGACAAGAGGCTCTGACCTGCTTCCCCCTGGAGTTACCTTCCGCATCGAACGCGAGGAGCGAGGAAGAGATGACGAAGATGACCTCCACCGAGACGGAGGACGACGACGACGACGAAGAGAACTACGTGGACGAGGCGTGCAAGTCCAAGTTCATCGTGCGGGACATTTTCTTGACTGTACCGGAGCTGAAGAGAGATCGTGCCGCCTCCGTGGACTCATGTTTCAATAACAATAAGAACGGCAGCGGCGTCACCGACTCGGATCTGCTGGCGGTGCCGCAGCAGAGCATCAGATCGAAAAGCGTCGACATTGTGTTGCCGACGGACGTACGGACGAGGTATACGGCGCTGCTACCAGGGAAAGAACGACGACCTTCGACAGGGTGGGTACGTCTGATTGATGGAGTCGCAGCGGACTCGCGCGTCTTCATATCACGCGATATGGTTCAACATCACATTAATAAGTTATATCTCCCTCATTGTGCACATTGATTTCGTCTGTTATTCATTCCAAAATGCGGGCCCTCGTGGCACTGCGCTGTATGTTCTTCATGTTGCCTCTTCGATGTTTTTCATTTCCTTTTTCTTCCTAGATAATTTTTAGGCTCTGTGAGTTTTAACCTCTCTTCCATCCGGATTAAATCTTTCGTGATTTGCATCTACTCAGCCAGCACAGAAATATTTTATAAAGGTTTTTTATGAATAAATATTTTTTGCGAATATTTGTATGTTCTATGAATATGCATAGAATATTTACCAAATGTAGGTTAAACATTGATTTGATATCTACAATTGTAAAAGAACAATTTAAATATTTTATTTCGTAGATGTGTGTCAAGCTATAATAAATGCATATTATTATTTAGAATATTATAAAAATGTATAATAGTATAAATTAATTTTATTAATGTTTTAATAACATTTTTTTCTACTGTAATATACGAATCTCTGTGTGTATGTCTGCAATATTGTATGCATATTCATTAAATATTAAATTCAAATATTCTGGGATTAAGAACATTCGTATTTCATAGAAATATGCATAGAATATTTTGTGCTATCTGGGAATTTATTAATTTTTGCATTTCTTCCAAAATAACAAGATGTATCCTACATTTAATCATATACTTATTGTTAAAGGAGGTGGAAGTATATATGGTCTGATAGAAAATCGAAACAGATGTCAATTTTAAATATATGACAATCTACATAGTTTCATTTGTATCATCATAATGCCTGCAAAATGTAAGATTCGAATGTGAATTCGATATGTGAATTCGTAAAATAATTTCCAATTTCTTTAAATCATAGTAAGAGTATCTATATACATATATATATATATATATATATATATATATATATATATATATATATATATATA